GAGGAATTGCGAAATATTTTCTCTTGAAATACATGATTAAAGAAATATATTTTGACATATCTGCGGAGATAAGCCTTATTGATAACTTGATTGCATAAATGGTGCCAAAGACACTTATCTTGGCGATGACCGCTTTCATAACGATGACGCTCAAAAGCGAACTTGGACTCGTTCAGAACGACCCTTTCCAAGCTTCAAAGGTTTTAACGGACCCCGATGGCGAGTGTCAAGGCAAAGAGCAACCAGTCAATCAGCCCCCGTGGTTTGGTTTTCTTTATGTTAGTATTTGATTGTGTCCAACTATCTGGCAAGGAAGGCAAATGCGCTATATTTCCCAGAACCCGGTGACTGTAGTCTTAGCTTTTGAGAGAAATATTAAAATCGCTGCGCTGCTGTCGTCCGAAAAGAATATTAAAACAGAAACATACTGTAAAAAACAACTGAGCCTAGCGAATTCAAGTAATGTAAAGGCTCGTTCACCTAGGGTTGACATTCAAACGAAAACAGCCATCATTCTTCTAGAAAAACACAATAGTATTACGTGTGAAGAAGCTAGACAGTCCCTAAAAATATTTTCTTTGTATTCGTAATTTTGCTTCGTGCTGATGCAAATTATAATGAAAAAATCATCAAAAATATACATGAAAGGAGGCAACGTGCGTCAGGCAAAGCGTAAAGAATCCTCGGAAGGTACAACGCAACAATGATTGTGATTGTTTACAATGCACCTGAAGGTGAACAAAGAAAATGATGAAAAACAGCTCGAAAACGAAGACGACGAGAAGGAACAAATACGACAGGACGAAGCTGTGCTCGCAACTAAAGTTTTATTAGTAAAAAAGAGAGAAAAAAAAAGGAAACCGCATATACAAAACAGATAACCGACACCAAAAATTATTACCTACTCATCTATCAAGCATCTCACTAACATAAGTGCTGACTATCCTCAAAAACCACCTTTCATATTCGCTTGCAAAAGACAAACCTCTTTATTCGGCTAAGCTACCGACGGAGCGCTGAAACATAGATCCCCCAAATGAATATAAAATATGATTTTATAATTTATTGTTGTTCTTTCGCTGTGTCTTGCCAGGACATCGACTTTACGGAAATCCGGCACGCACACGCATTTAAAAGATGTCATAAAAAAAAAATTAACGTTTTTTTTTTAACTACGAAAAAACAAAGAAAACTAGGAATCGCCGAACGCTCATTCTCCGCCCAAAAGGCAGCGCTAGAGGTCACAACCAGATGTCGAAGTTTCAGCCCGATCCGATATCTTATTCAAAAGTAACTAATTATTTACTGAAAATTTGAATGCGAAAATGGAGGCCATTTTTACTGATTTGCGGTTTCCGGTGCCATAGAGCCTATGCATGTATTCGAAAACTCCGTCGGCCGCCATTTTCCCATTGAAATTTTTAGAAAATCACTTATAACCTTTGAATAAGGTGTCCGTTCCGGCTGGCATCTGGTTGTGACCTCTATGGCTACCTTTGGGCGGAGAATGAGCGTTCGACGATGCCTAGTTTATTTTTGCAATAAAGACAAACAAAAGAAAACGCTTAATTTTTTTATGACACCCTGTACTGCAATGTGTGGGGGCCACCCCAAACATCGCTGGGGGCCAACCCAACAGTGGCCCCTAGTGAATAGGAATGCTCTCTAGGCCTGTCATTGAGACACCTCCCCGTCGGCCCCACTTAAAACATATTACGAGATATGGGGATTTCGTAAAAAAAAAAAAAAAGAACGGGCGAAACACACGTCACGAACCGTTCTCAGTCCGCTGTAGTGCGGATGCCTTTTTGACGACTAGCCCCGTCACCAACCCTAGAACACAATGGGCTCAATTTTTGAGGCGCCGAGAACACTGCTGATATGCCGTTCCTCCCTCCTACTTCCTCCAAGTTATGAGAGACCCGATATAGGTACGGAACGATAACCATGAGTTTTCTGTTAATTTTCCCTTTAGCCTTCTCCACACCTTTGGCCTTCTTCAGCAGGGAACTTGCTACCTTCGTCAAAAGGCTCACCCGAAAACCCGACGTCATTAGCCTTCCTACCTGCTCCCGGAAACTGTCATCCGACGTGTGCAAACACAACTTCTTAAGAGCCGAAGAAAGACACACGACAGCAATCCGTCCCTTCACAACCTAGGAATGTGGAGACCGTTAGTCCAGAATAAGGTTTCTTAGAACGGGGTCAGTAAGACCAACACATGTCGTTTTCCCCTCGGCTGACCGACATGTCTAAAGTTTGGAGTACACCTGCTTTAGGTTTTTCAAACGTGAAACTGAGTCCCACAACACACTTACTGAAAGCATCCGAGACCGTATTTCGAGTGCCACTTCCATTAGCTCCTTTATAGTTGACTAAAAGTAGTCCACGAAACGGAACACTTTTTTTAGCGCAGAAGAACATATGGCACTTTCTACAGCTCTGTCTACCTCGGCAAGCAAAATATCGCTCAAGATTGGCGCCACCCATGACCCAATGCTCACGCCATTTTTCTGAAAAAACATCTTATCGCGCTAGCCAACCATCATAAAGCTCAAATAAAATTGTAAGCAAATAAAATTGTAAGAGCTCAAGGAAGCCTTCCGGGAGACACCGCTAGCGTTTCTGTATCTCAGTTCCCCGTTAGACTTAATGTATGACCTCACCGAGGATAACAGCTGGTCGTAGGGCAAAGAAGAAAACAAGCCTTCATGATCCACACAAAAGGCCGACCACTTTCTTGCCTTTTTAGCTTTAAAGAACTCTACTACCACCTCAGACTTGTGGACCCGGTAAGGGTCTCCGATATCTAAGGGTGACAGTTGCGTCTGGAGTCACGAAGCCAGCTAACGCTGCCAAGTGCCCCTCTTGGCAATAATGGCCCTAAATGGGCACAGGTCCTTATGCGTCTTGGCACTAAAAAATATGTCGAGATGCAGGCCAACTGATTTTTTAATCCTCCCTTCCACCTGCTTCAGAGTAAGGCTATCACACAGCATAATTGCCCGCTCTTTTACCTTTATTTTTTTAATTATTTTAATTGGTTTTGTCTCTGATGGTAATATCCGTCAGTACTGGAATTTCAACATTACCCCCAAAGACAATAATAAAACAGTTATCTGCAGATATTAGTTAGTTGGTAAACTTATCATGAAAATTATTCCCTCGTCTAATCTCAGTCGACACAGATAGATACATGGTGAACGCGGCACTTGCCTAATTATCGCCCATTTTTTGTCTATTCCAATTAAAATCAAACCTGTATACGCTATTTATATATTTGTCATCCTCCTCCAGAACATTGATGACTTGAAAGATTGAATGAACGCTACATCAACACTCTTGTCAGCTGCAGTTTGCATATCAAATACGAAAGGGTATTGAAGTTCATTCCACAAATTGTAAAACGACATTTTCGGAATTAATGTTCAGATATTACAAAAGCAAAATATTTATTACCACATTAACTTAAGAATCCCATAGGAATAATTTGGCATTACTGCACTAACCAAAATATATAAACCTAAAAAAACTACAACTGTAAGCTCCTAGAGCTTACGTCACTGGTAAGGTTTACAACGTACGATTGTCTTTTCAGCGAAGACAGGTAGTTATTATATGACCAAATGATCTGTCAAGCGAAGAGATCACAAACACGCGGCCCGCGGGCCGCATTCGGCTTGCTAATCGCAGGCACTCGGCCTGCACCCCAGCATAACTTTTCGCTAACTGGATTATGGAACAGAAAATCTGACTAAATTTTTTGCTGGAAACCTGAAGTCCAGCTTGCAGACAATTGTCTCCAAACTAGATTTCAGGTTGCCAGCGAAACATCAAATTAGATTTCCTGTTCCATAATCCTGTTAGCGAAAAGATATACTGGTTTTTATCGGTACTGATACGAATCCCGGTTCGCAAGTCTCGAACGCCAAAATGGCATGGGCCATGCTGATCTCATCTCGCCGATGCATTTTCGCTCAAAAAGTAGCTCTGCTCTTTTAACGTATTCTCTTAGTTTATACTTACCTGTGGTCATTTTTTTCGTTGTTTTCGCTTTATTTTTCGCTTCACAACTTTTTGTAATGCACAACTGTTCCGCTACTGGGATGCGAGCGCGAGCTCTTCGTTGAAACATGCATCTCGGCAGCGCGAGCTCTCGATCAGCAGGGCATCTGCCGAAGATAAAGCTAGATGCTAGGGGATCCTCGCATTAAAAAAAATCATCAGAATAGCAAGAAATGTCAAACTAACTCCTCTTTTCTTTCAGAGACACGTTGAGCTTGGTTAATTCCCGATTGAATGGAGCAACTGGAACGATTAGTGTAGTTGCTCTCTTACTCTATTAACAATGCAAAACAGGTTGACGGGTAATGTCATCTTATTAGTGGTCATCACATCAAGTCAGGGTCCAAAGTAGTCATATAAGCAAATCAAATCTAAAAAGGTCACTGCGAAAACTGTGAGTTTATAAAATGCATGGAGCACGAGGTCTATTCTATTTAAAACGTTATTCGCCCCCCATCCCCCGGCCCCTCCCCCTCCTGTCTTACGTCCGCCCTCGAACTTTTTGGTGTGGGCCATCTGGCCCCGACACTCAAATGAGTTTGGCACCACTGGTCTAGTGCCTCGAGAAAAATTGCTTTCATTAAAATTATGTTTAACTTCCTCTCTTTCTTGAGGCTTTCCTTCTGTTATCCTATGAAATCTTATGCCAATGTTCAGACAAGACATTAAAAAAGAATAATGGCCTTCCGGCAGGCGGGATAAAATTTCCGCAGCTTGTGACGAAAATATTTTATGAATATCTCTCATTGACAGTGCGAAATTCAATTGTTGTGAATAGCTCGCTGTCACGGACTTTGAGAACAATGCGTGTGACAGGCCGTGTCTCTTTCTACGAAAAAAAAATCGATAAAAAAAATGCTTTTTTTACACCGGCGAACCACTATATAAACCAACTCCGAAATCTGTAACTACATCGTCGACATCTACCGTCCAAGATGAAGGCAACCTTTGCAGCCGTTTGCTTCCTAGCTACAGTGGTGTGCACTATTGCGCAGCTGCCTGGTAAGTCTGTTACCGAAGTTGTTGCATTATTATGACTCTCCAGCTCTAAGACATTTTCCTTAGACTCGCAATCTACATCACAATTGTCGAGCTCTTTTGTCGAACTCTATTGCTTTGTACCCAATCAACGTTCACGAACGATAATATTTCGTATACCTCAGGCGCCAGATTTTAGCTGCTTGGTCTTTCAACGAGCACTGGATTTTCCCATGCAAAGTAGCTTGTCGGAAAGGGCATGTCGGAAACAAACCAAATTTTGAAGTGAATTAGTATATCATGCATACTCGAGGGTATAAAGGTCCATCCGTCCCAGTAACTGCTTCACTAGGTTGAAACATATGAAACACTGTCTATTTTATCATGAGGAAGTGGATGGGAATGCAAAAAACTGCTTTTATGCAGACTGACAACCCCTCGGTACCCCGACAAGGCAAAAATAACACGAGACCGAAAAAGAATAAAAAAAAAAAAAGTTCATAATTTCATATATTATTAGTTGTCATTTCTTCTTTTTTTCGAGGGAAGGGGGGGGGGGGGGGAGTGGGGGCGTTTTATTCTATTGTTTTTTTTTCCGATGCCACCTCATTTTGTAACTTGTGTTCTCCTTGAGCGTATTTGATGAAGAGATTTTACAGAATGTAAAACTTGCAGTATTCTTTTTTTATAGATGGTTCTATTAAAGAAAATTCAATCAGCGCTTTGTGATAACATGGTAAAACACTCGTAAATTGTATTAAAATTTACGTAAAGGCCACGATCCGAAAACTACAAAAACTGTTTGCCAGTCAAAAGTAGAGTGTTTTTCCCTATTCGCAGACAAATTTATTTCGGCGTGCCTTATAACACCAATACTATGAAATAGTTTGAGTATTACATCAATGGTGCTTGACATAACATATCAGGACAGAGTTGATTTCAGGACGAAACCGTTTTTCGTTAGTACGTCTTTCTTAAATTGTTATATAAAATAATTTCATTCATATTCAATATTTCACCGAATTTCTCTGCAGAGCATATCTGCAGATCAGCACATGGTGTGTCAATTTGCGCCCCTGATACCCCGTTAAAATCGTTATTCTACTTTGACGACAACACCAACCAATGCGAGGAATACTATGGATGTGGAAAGGGCTTCACAGACTTTTTGACCTTGAAGTCCTGTAAAAATGCCTGCCCTTACGGTAAGTTTTGTGTATATTTTCTTTTCTTCCATTCAACACGGGCCATAGTCTATGCTGTTGTTTTGCTACGGAGCTTTGTGACGTGTCACGTATTAAACAAGTACCACGCTTACCTGGATCTTAGAACTGCCACTACGCAGTCTGTTTACAGAAGCACTATAGTATCAGACAGCTAAGCGCAGTCTTGAAAATTACAATTGCTGTATTCGGTTGTACATTTCTGGTTATATCAGTATAGTGCTACATCATGAGCCTTTTGGTAGACCCTGCGAAATGTCTGCGAGTTTACTTACCCTCAAAACACTCAAAGAGCCAATCATTGCGATGTAGGAAATCAGCTCAGCGAATGATGAGGCGGAACATCTGTTTAGACCTAAAAATGAAGTCCCTGCTGTGGCATTACCCAATGCAGAGCGTCATGCTTGCATTGCGTGATGAAACAGCGCAGACTTAATTTTAAGGTATAAACAGATGTTCCGCCTCATCATTCGCTGAACTAATTTCGTAGATATCAGAGATTGGCTCTTCGAGTGTTGTGTGGGTGAGTGGACTTTAAGGCATTTCTTAGAGCGTATAGGGTAGTAGCGAACTTATATTACGAGAGGAGAACGCGAAAAGCGCAATCGTTATAATGTTAAATGTTTGAGCATATCATTAAAAATATTATTGTGTATGGCACATGAAATAACGATTTTACTCTTGCTCACCGTGAATATTTTTGCCTAGTGTCAATACTCTTCTTGCTGCTACTCTTTAAGTGTACTTAAAAATAAATATGACCAAATCAGGCTTTGGTACCAAGCAGCGCATTCTGCAAGGTATAGGAAGGTTTTATTGACTACCAACTCCTAATGGCATCTTATAAAAATAGATGGTAAGATTATTTCAAGGTTGCGCTCATCGGCCCCCAAACAAATATGTTTAATTTATGTTTCTTTTGTACAAAACAAGGAATACAAACAAAAAGAAAAACAGACGCGGTTTGACGCTGAGTAACATTTGTATTCTCGCGCAGGTAAAAACAAGCCAAAGTCACCGAAGAACTCAAAGTCTATTGGACAATGATTCGGTAACTCTCACCAACCAATATCGCGATCTAAACAAAACCAGATTCGTTATACGAGCAGAATGTTATTCGTTTATTGTGCATTGCATCGTGATATCTAACGGTCTTGTAGTGAATGTTTGCGGCTTGATTTTCACCAGCATTTACTCCCATGTAAGAATCATGTATTTTAGATAAAAATGTTCTTGTGTGGTTAATTGCTCGACCAAATTATTTTATTTTCAATTAAATATATGTTTATAGTTGAGTTAAACAAAGTGACTGTAACTTTGTGACGTATGCGGATGCCCTGCGTGTGCGCAGGCGCCACATCGCTGCGCGGCACCTCCGAATACTCGTGCTGCGCATACCCGTGGCGCATTCGAGGCCAGATTTCGTATCGCGAAAACCGGGTGCGGTAGCTGACGAATGCTATCGCATTAAAAAACAGAAACCTCGCCGAGCGTATGATTTTACATGCGGGTAATTGCCAGTAAAAAAACCATTTCAATTGTCACTGAAGACGACGGGCTTATATTATACCAAGTTCAATAATGCTAACTGCTTCAGCAGAGTAATGTTACCCGCATATGCTCTATTTTGTATTACTGCTTCTTATACTTTTACACTTGTCACTGCAAACCCGCATGCCTGCATTATTTCTTCTTTGAAGGTGTAAAGTATTGTGTCAAACAAACATGCCCTCTAACAATCACGTTCGTTATAGCTGCACCTCTAGAATAGCTGTACACTCGAATTGTTCACATTGTGCACAGTCAGTTTTGGCAAATATTGCAACATAATTAATGTTGAAGTCGGCGCTATTATAGATTGCACACGCGCTCAAGTGAAACCAACGCGCTTAATCCTCTTTCTAATTTCAGGGAAACCGAAAGCGCGCCATCGCTGACTCAGGAGAACATCTTTGATACAGCAGCCGGAAGACCCGACAAGGCGCTAAAACCTAATAAAATAGAGCATTAAACGAACATCGTTTGAGTCTTCGTTCTTTGCTTTCAGTTTCTATTGAAGGCAGTCTCGTGATTACAGTCATTGAATTTAAACCTAGCTCTTTCTGTTGTGTTATCGAAGCCCTCAATAATATTTGTTGATTTATCCCAAAATATTAGCGTCTGTCAAATTTGACATTCTTTTCTTTAAAAAAAAGCTTCGAGCACGATCGATCAAATATATTTCTCCTGGAAACGTAATGAGATGTTGGAGACATTTTCCAAACTTCGCTTTAATTCTCGTGAGGGATGCCTTCTTTGAAGAGCTGATACACCGGTCATGTCATTCTGAAAGAATGAAAGAATATATACGGCACCGAGCATATTTTTATTCCTCGCTTTGCTGATATGCGCAGGGTCGAACCGGAACCATATCGAAAACCTGAACCGAACCGTTATTTTTATATAACCGGAATTCCCAAACTAAATCTTCGCCACTATCTTGGAACAAAACCGGAAACCGGAAAAAAAAGTAATTTTATCGGTAATTGGTTCAAAGCGGTTCCCGGTGATTTTTTTTTTTTTTTTTGTTATTACAGGTTTAGAGTTTTAGAAATATAAATTGGCAACTATAATTCCATGTCAGATTTTTATTTACCGAATCGATCGATTTAAGCGCTCGGCGCATGGGTGACGCCGTCATAACTTTAGTTCACGAGAATCAGACGGCCGCGCATGCCAGGGCTCGTGCCGTCTCGTGATCCACGAGCGCAGCGCTCCCGCAAGCTTATAATTGCACGTGCGCTTGTTCTGCCAGTCTCAGTTCGTTGAGCTTCTGTGAAAAATCACACAAAAGGAAGACAATCAGCGCCTAACCCCCCTACCCCTTACCCCCTAAAAAAAAGAAACTGAAAAAGAAAGACAGGTTTTTGGACGCCCGCGCTTCTTAAGCCTTGACCTTGGAGGAGTATGCGATTGTAGCACAGTAGAAATTTGGGCTAGTTGGTTCATGATCAGTATATACAGCGCCAAAAAACGACAGGACAAAAGGAGAGTAAGCAGGACGAGGCGCATCGCAACTAAAATTTATTTATGAAAAACACATAATATATAGGCCTTTAAAAACGCCTATTCATCCCATCAATCCAGAAGACCTCTTGATAAAATCAAACTCTTTCCCTGAGAGGGCAAGGGAAGGCTCGCTAACGCATTCATCTCCCTTTGCTCCAATCTCAAACGCCTCGTGCACTTCTCGGCATATTTTATCTTAATATTTCGCCAGAACCTTCACATCATGCAAAACTGGTGAGCACGGGCAGCGTGCCCGATTGCTCTCCTTTTGTCTTGTCTTTTTTTGGCGCTGTATATACTGATTGTAGCCCGTTTGTCCCGCGGCTGGCCCCCTGTCTGAAACGCCACGGTCCGTTTCCCCCAAGTATTAAGTTCCCTGCCTTATCTTTTCTGAGTATGAGCTCCGCAGTGATTCTGAGTTATTCCTATGCTTTTCAACGTTGCAATACTGTTAGACGAATTTGCACAGAAATATATACTGTTCGAGGAAATTTCTACAATGCTAAAATCCCAAAGCACTGTTTTTAATTCGGGAATTCATGTAGGTTTAGCTCATCGTTCAAACATGTTTATTCGCTTGATGAGCTCCACAAAATGTATAAATATTAGAATGGACTTTCCAGAGAACGATATTAGTCGTCGGAGTCCCTGCTTGACTGAACAGGTCGCAAATAATGGTTCATTAAAATTTTATTTTAAAATCACAATCGTATCATCAACGGCACGCCATTTTCTAATCACTTCTTCTAGGGACAGTGCTGCTGTATTCGTAGCACACAGACAGAAACGGTTGAGGCTGTGCTCAAATAATATCTTCTTTTGTAAGGTACTTCGCAACGATTACACACAATGTTTGTAACATAAACAAGCTGCTTCACATGTGTATTTACAGGAAACAATACATTGTTCTCCCAACTTCGTTGAAATGGGCATGAAAGAGCGCGACCATCACTTGGTAGAAGTTTCATTTGCAGATAGAGTGGTTACAGTAAAATATCATTTCTTTTTTTCCACAATAAGACTCGATTTACTTCAACATTATTTTTTTCGTGTCGCTTCCACAGCCCTTCTACGTTCGTACTTTTGTGTTACAGGACATCAGATAATGTGCGAAAGGAAATGGCACGATCGATGCTGCATAGCCTATGTTTTGGGAACATTAAATAAAAAAATATTTGTCTTCACCTTGCACTGCACGTTTCAGCACGGAAGTTCCTGTTTGGTTATAATGTTTTTACTTACTTAAAAGAAATATATCGTTATTTAACTTACCGAGTTACAACTACGGTCGAATTAGTAAAAATGCTTTAATTACTCTCATTGATATTTTCTCGCATAGTGAATAAGATTAGTTAAAAAGTGAAATCCGTTTACAAATCCCTGTAACGCCGAATTGGAGCGCAGCTCTTGAGGAGGAGGAGTGAAGGGTACTGAGGGGAGGGTAGACCCCTCCTCCTTCTCCTCCTCCTCCCCTCATTCTTTAATATGCTCCGGGGGGGTGTCACGTGACTTCGGGGTGGGGGGACACGTGACCTCGGGGAGGCGTGACCTGGGGGTCACGTGACCTTGGGTGTCACGTGACCTTGGGTGTCAGGTGGGGGTCACCTCAAGGTCACGTGACCCCCAAGGTGACCCCCACGTGACACCCACGTGACCTCAGGGGGTCACGTGACCTTGGGGGTCACTAAACCTTGGGGGTCACGTGACCTTGGGGGTCACTAAACCTTGGGGGTCACGTGACCTGGAGGGGTCACGTGACCTTGGGGAGGAGACCGCGTGACCTCGGGAGTCACGTGACCTCAGAGGGGTCACGTGACCTTCAGGGGGTCACGTGGGGGTCACCTTGGGGTCACGTGACCTTGAGATGACCTTGGGAGGTCACGTGACCTGGAGGGGTCACGTGACCTTGGGGAGGAGACCACGTGACTTCGGGGGTCACGTGACCTCTGGGGGTCACGTGACCTTCAGGGGGTCACGTGGGGTCATCTTGGGGTCACGTGACCTTGAAATGACCTTGGGAGGGGTCACGTGACCTCGGGGGTCCGTGACCTTCAGGGGGTCACGTGGGGTCATCTTGGGGTCACGTGACCTTGAAATGACCTTGGGAGGGGTCACGTGACCTTGGTATGACCTTGGTTACGCCGACGCCGACGGCGACGGCGACGCCGACGGCGACGCCGCTCAAGCCGGGAACGGGCCCCTAAGAGCTGCGCTCTAAAACATACCCGAAACCAAAAGCTGGTATGCGTATTCCCTGAGGTGTTATTTTCTTAGCGGTCTAACTCTCAGGAGGTGCTATTTTTATGCGTTGTGTACTCGTTGTTTTCAGGTTCTGAGCATTTTCAAGTGGAAATCAAGAAGAAAATTAATCCGCATGATTCCCTTTGCTTTGCTAAACCAGATTATCCGGACCTTCTGGCAACAATATGCATCTGGCGGTTCCATCTACTGCCGGGCGTGAGAGGTTGAGCTTGCGTACTCTCTCCCGAGCTGAAACAAGCACGGCGTCAACAAAAAATACGAACAATTATAAGGAAGCCAACAAAATACCTCCGTCATAAACGACCAACAACCATACAAGTCGGAGAACATCGGTTAAATTGAAGTGCTTTCATGCACGCATGTGTTTGTAGAGTTATTTCATCTCCGCAATTTTACCACCCAACGTTTGTTTATTTCTTTTTAAATGCACTCACTTTGCCTCTTCAAAACCCAGCAGCTTTCTATGCATGTATGGTGTCGTCACCCTGAGACAAACACACACCAAGGCACTCTATATTGAATAAAAAAAACCTTGTATTTCATTCACAACTTTAGGGCACCAAAGACTTATTCAAGTAAAACAGTTGGCATTGTACCAAGTAAAGCCTACGCCGATTTTTTTTTCTGATATATATACAGTTTTTATTTTGTAGATACTGCTGTAGCACGTCGTTGACAGCATAATAATAAAACTGCAGCCGCACCGATAAAGAACTGCAGTCCCACCGATCTCTGTG